CCTTCTGAGTGCTGGGATTACAAATGTGTTCTGAAAGGGTTTTGGCCCAGACAGGACACTGTAGCCAGGAAAGCCTCAACCGGAAGCAGGAAGCCCCTATCTCCCCTGCCCCTAAGAAGTTACCTGTGACGCCATCTTCCCACATCTTTCCATTTCCCTGGAAATTTACATATGGTGCCAAACCTAGGACCAATGGGCTACCTGTGCATCCCTAATGCCTGCCTTAGGTTCCACCCCAAACCGAGGCTATTTACATACCCGCACACCATGTGTCCGCCAGAGAGATTGCTGGACGCGCAAGTCGTGGGGATGCTGGTCATCTCTCCGTGTTCTCAGAATAAAGGCCGCTTTTTATTTTATACTTCCCATCTTTTGGAAATAATCCTAGCATTTGGGGCCATGACTCGGATTGGCAGGCGATTGACTCCTGGGACACACCCAGTTGAGTCCCCTACCCGGTAACCAGATAACATCCTGGATTAATTCCGAGCTTTTTCCTCTCCAGAGACCCTCACTGTCAATGGGCGCCCCCTTGTGGCTCCTCTTGTGAACTGCAACCATCTGCTGGTGTTTCCCAGGGTGACCCGCAGCAACTCTGTAGCCGCTCTACAGATGATTGCTCACACTTGCCTACCAGACAGATGGCTGCTCAATGGCCCTCTACTCCGGAATCTTCTGCTCAGGCTCTGCTACCACTTTGGGAGCAAGCTGGCTCCAAGAAACTTAAAAACATCCATGTGCCTTTTTTCCTTTCTGATCTATCTCAGATTACCCATAAATTACATAGCTTCTCTATTGCACTGCAGAATTATATAAGGAAATTTAAATTTGTTACTAATTGTTATGATTTACATTTTAAGGATGTTTATGTTATTCTAAATACCACTCTCAGCTCACAAGAATGGAATCAGCTGTGGCAAACAGCTCAAAAAAGAAGCTGATCACAGACATAAGGTAAACACTGCTGATAATGACCCTGGGCCTATAGCTGTGCCAGAGCAGGACAAGCATACTAACTATAACAAACTTTTAAAACAGGACCAGGAGGACAATCAAAACCCAGCTGTGTTCCTAAATTGGCTTTCTAATCCTCGCGCCCTGCGAGCAGTTCCAGCTTCGCACGCTGCATCATGCCACCTCCCAGCCCCTCCCTCCCCAGAGCGCCCTCATCGCTGACACCTTACACGTTTCCAGGGGCAGTCCCAGCCCTCCCCTGCATGCTACATCCTGGAGCTCGCCCCTCCCCCATGCTGGGTGTGCTCTGCCGGTGCACCGCAAAACAGCAGCTCAGCGGCTCCGCTCGGCATGCTTTTTTTTACAATTCGGCTCCACTCAAGAGATGCTATTTTTTTTATCACAATTCTCAAACCATTTAATCAAAGTTACTGGCCACCTGATAATTTTACCAGTCTTGCTTATTGATCAAAGCCTTCACCAATCTCCTGTTTAACAACTAAGGTTCTAAATTCCTTTTTGCTGGGAACCACTAGCTCTATTTGAAGACAAGGGTTTTCTTCAAAGTTTTATTTTATTTGTCTTGGTTCATACTAGTGCAAATAACAACTTTAAAAAGTACATGTGTTCAAAATTTGACAGTATTAGATCAGTTTTGATAGATTTATTCATAAGACTGCTAAACCCTTACTGCAAAATGTTTCCATTAAAGCCTTTTTGGGCAGACTAAAGCTTTTTTTGTGAATTCCATGTGGCACCCTATTAAAAATAAAAGCAGTGTGCCATCAAGATAAAGCCTGCTCTCTGATCTGAAATAAATTCCTGCATACTTAATTCTACTATAGTCCAAATCCCAAACAAAAGGGCAAAACTTAACCTTCAAACCTTATAGAGATCTTAATATGGTTTATCATATTTTTAACACTTGTGACACTTGGAGTTCTGAGGCAGGTAAACCTACACAAGGTGGAGCTGCCTGGCGCCTGCATGGACCACACTCAAGTGCAGCAGAAGACATTGGACAACAAAGTGCCCCATCCTGGCGTTCTTTGAGACCTTACTCCAGGGCTGCTGGACTGTCCTAGCCACCAGAGTGTGGGTAAGCCATCCTAACTTCTAGCCCTCACAGGAAATGTGCAAACTGCCAGATTCGTCACCAACAGAAAATTGCTGCTGAAGACTAAGGGGACTCAGGGCCAGCAGCCCCCTTTGTGGGTGTCCGTCTCAGAGTCCAAATTCCATGAAAACTCTCAGGTAAGACATTCTCTATATTTGTGGACATAGTGGCCATATGTACAGAGTTCTTCCTGAGTTTTCAGGCTGCTATATTAAGTCCTCAATCTCTATGACGGGGTATTGGTGGTCAACCTATGCCATTTATAAGAATAGCCAGGAAAGCCTCAACTGGAAGGAGGAAGCCCCTATCTCTCCTGTCCCTAGGAAGTTACCTGTGATGCCATCTTCCCGCCCCTGGATACATGATAACACTTGCAGTTCTTTTTACCCTCAGCTGTTGGTTAAATTGACATCCCTAAAAGCCTAAGCCCTTACCTTCCCTATACTGGGACAGCCACCGCCTTCCCTGCTCCCCCTATTTTTTCCAGTTCACCTCCTGGACTGGAGACAAGTTTTATATACTTACCGTCTTAACTTTTATGCTTTCAGATGGGGGAGTAATCACCTCTCATAACTTCACTCCTCCTAATCCCACATTTAATTTTCAGAATTCTGCCTTACTGTGGAACATGTCTAAATCAAAAGCACCTTTCCCTCTACCTCACTTGGGTCCTTAAATATGACTGTGCCATGTCTCCTCATAACATCTTGTCTCTTTGTTTTTCCAGTCTAACATACGTGCATTCACCAGTGAAGTTGTCCTGGCCAAAACACCTGGCACCAGCTTCTACCTGGGCATCAACCATCATCCCGTCGACTCCCCTAGGTTCCAGTGCAGCACCCTCTGCCAGCAGGAAGTAGTTAAAGAGAGAAATCTTGCCACTTTTCATAATAATAATCATAAGACGGGATATGAAAGGGTTTTGGCCCAGACAGGATACTGTAGCCAGGAAAGCCTCAACTGGAAGCAGGAAGCCCCTATCTCTCCTGTCCCTAGGAAGTTACCTGTGACGCCATCTTCCCGCCCCTGGAAATTTGCATATGGCACCAAACCTAGGACCAATGGGCTACCTGTGCATCCCTAATGCCCGCCTTAGGTTCCACCCCAAACTGTGACTATTTACATACCCCCACGCCACTTGTCCGCCAGAGAGATGGCCAGATGCCAGTGGTGGGGGGTGCCGGTCATCTCTCTCCATGTTCTCAGAATAAAGGCCACTTTTTTATTTTATACTTCTCATCATTTGGAAATATTTTTCATCTTTGGAAATAATCCTAGCATCTTCCACTGTGCTTGACTAGTTTCTTTCATGTAGTATGTTTTTGAGGCTTATGAATATTGTTACATTTATTGCTAGTTCTGATTTATTGCTGAATAATATTGCTGAATGGGAATATCATATGTTGTTTATCCTTCTCTATGTGGACTCCTAGGTTATTCTACTTTTGGGCTATAGTGAATAATGCTGCAGTGGACATTTGCATAAATGCATTAAGTAAATGTGGTTGTTTCTCTTGGATAAATACATAGGAGTGGAATGTTTAAGCCACACAGTAAGCATATGCTTGTCTTTTTCAAAATGTCAAACTGTTTTCTACAGTGGTGTTGCCTTTTTACATTCTTACCAAGACAGTTCAGATTCTTTCACCTCTCAAAGGTTTGGAGAAGAAGGGTTATGTGTGAAGAATGGTCTGCAATACTTCTTTTGTTATGGAACTTAAGCGGGCTGTTACAGATGTATAGTTTTCTAGCACAGAAAGAGTTGTGGGGTTCCTGTTACCTACAAGGCGTTCCTAGGCGAGTTACCTTGATGTTATGAAAGGAAGAATGCTGCAGTATAGTTAAATGTCTTTTTTCTTCCTGTTTATGAAGAACGTGCCTCATCCCAGTACCTTAATAAACATGATTTAGGTTGATGTGTCTGTTTGTTGGCAGAGGTGGGAATAGGCATTGACCTTTGTCGCTTACCACTTTACAATTCATTGCTCAGGAATTGGATTTTATTTCTTCACAAGAGCACAGGAGCTTGGATTTTATTTCTTCCCCTTATGTGGTAACAGGCAAATACGGTTGAGAGCACTGAAGGCATTAGCCCTTCTTTGAACAAAGGGCACCTGGGCCAAGCCATCTGAAGAAGGTGCTTCAGCCCCAAAATCACTAAGCCCGAAGACAATCCAAACAGTGGGTTGCTAGAACAGGGTGTCATATGGACATTATGTTGCTAAAAAGGTATAAATAAAAGGCCCTGAAGTCAAGGGGCCTTTGCTTTTGTCTCTTCTTTATTTTTTCTTATCCTCTTGTAGTCTTGATCACCTTAAGAACCTCAAGAGTCCTGCGGGTTACAGCAGGATACAAAACTTGTAAGAGTTTTCTGTAACTCACTGGTAGAGCATTTGCTCAAGGTAAGCAGTGTCCTGCACTCAATCCATCACAGTACCTAGAAACAAAACAAAGCAAACCCAAAACCTGAAAACAGAATTGCTTCGAAGCAAGAAAACTAGGCATCTGGTTGGTGTTGGCGGCCTTTAAAATGTCTTTTGTCATTTGTTTTCCTCTTTTGCCTCCCATTTATGTATTTTTGTTCATTTTGGCTTTTGGACAAGTGTCTTACTGTGTCGCCCACATTGATGTCACACTGGCTGTGTAGCTAAGGCTGATCTCAAAATTGTCATCATTCTGCCCCAGCATCCTGAGGGCAGGGATTGCACATAGGAGTTGCTGTGCCTTACTTTACATTTCTTTTTCAATCAAAGAAAGGAAGCTCCTCAGCTGATTCTGATGTGCAGCCAGATAAGGAAACTATGGCTGTACACAACCCCCTGCTTATATCTGCACACAGTGAGTTTGTCCCTTCACGCTGCACATAATAGTGTATAATGGTAGAAAAGTCACTTTTCTGTTGCTGGTACAAAATGTTCAACAACTGCAATTTAAAGGAGGAGAGGTTTATTTGGCTCACAGTTTCCACTGCATCCAGTCCACGGTTGGCTGGCTCCAAAGCACAAAATCATGGCAGAAGGGTATGGCGGAGGAAACACAGTAGCCAGGAAACGCAGAAGGGAGGAGCTGAGGAGGCAAAGAGACCTTCTGTATTTATTACAAATAGGTGCTCAGTGTTTGTTGAATGACTGGATGCGTCTAAGTGAAGGGACAGTTTAAAATCGTATATAGAGCAGGGTTTACCACTCTATTTGTTCCAGATTACTGGAAGCTAAGGGGTTTGTACTTTCTGTTCTGAGTATCACAGACTTGAGGAAAGCTGACAGGATCCAAGACACTGGTCAGTGCTGCAGTGACATCTGTTGTTGAAAAGAAGGCATAACAATTTCTTTTGCTTTTGCTCTCATAGAAGTTTGGTTCCTAGAGTAAAATGGGACTTTAGAGATCATGGACACACACACACACACACTCACACATACCCAGTACTGAGGCTCAACCCTGGGCTCTGTCCGTGCTAAGCAAGGACTCTGGCCCTGAGGTACATCCTTAGCCTATTCTTACCCTTTTATAGATGAGGAAGCAGGCCTAGAGTGCTGAGAAGTTACCTACCTGGTTAGAGGCATAGGTGTGGCTCGAGCCAGGTGGTGGAAGATCCCTCTGAGCTTCAGGAACAGGGTGGATTTGAGGTTGTGTTGGGGAAGAGGATCTCTGGGAGGCTACAAAGTGGAGCCAAGAGGCCAGAGTGATAAGGCCAGAAGTGAACTGCACCAAGGAGCTGAGCTGAGGTCAGCAGCTGGTCAGTCGAGGGGACAGAAGGGAACCAGGATTGATGGGAACCACACAGGTGTGGCGAGAAGGTGCAAGTCCTCATTTGGGCTTGTTGACTCAGGATGGAACTTGAGGCAGAAATGTCAGTCAGCAAGCATTTTCAGCCCTGACACTACTCTTCTTTGAAAGCTGATGACATCAGTTGATTATCCAAGAATCCAAACCAGCTTTCAAAGTTGCATTGATTTTTGTTAACAGTCTACTTATTGTGAGTTTATTGAATGTCGTTGTTAAGAGCAGCATTCCATGTCTTGGTGTAAAAGTGCTGGAGCAGGTTTTCCTCTTCTGCTCCTTCAGGGAGTCTTCAGACCTGGACTTGATCTTGCAAGCGGTGTCCTCTAGCTTCAGGCAAGTGTAATTTTAATGATGACAGAGTTGATGAATACCACTTAGTGACGGCCAGAAAAGAAGTCCCCTACCCTCCGCTGGGTTTAACAGAAACAAGGAAGGATTATAAGAGATGAAGGTGACAGGAAATAAAGGAAAGGATTTTAATTCTGAGGAACACTATGTATTTAGGGAAGTTGTTTGAAGTCTGAGAAGCACATCCTGTCCTGAACACTCCGTTACCATTTCTGGGGACTGGAAGTGTAGCTCTGTGATAGGGCACCTACTTACCTGTGTGGAACAGCTGAGCTGTGGCTGAGGTGGAGGTCAGTGAACTCCCTGGGACTAGAGCAAAGCTGGTCCCAGGAACATGGAATGCCAGAAGCATTCCCCGCACGTGTGAACAAGTTGACCTCTAGCTTGGCTGCGTATCACCAGGTGTCCAGCCTTGCTGTCCCTTCCTGTTAATTATAGCACAGATAATCTGAAAATGTTCCCTTTTTTGTGTTGTTACCAGGACCTTGCCCTTTCGACCCTGTCGCATGCTTTCCTTTTTACTGTGTATAAATGAGGATGCTGGTATGCATCACTACTTCCCATTGGAGGGCCACGTGTCGGCCAGTCCCAGCTTTCTTGTGTGTTTTGTCTTCTCTTAATCTTGCGCTGTCCTGTCAGTGCCCGCATTGTTTGCACGGGATGTGGCACTTAACATTTATGAGGCTCTGGGTTCAAACCCAGCAGCACAAGCAAAGCAATGATTATATCCTCTTGAAACTAATATGATTTGTATTGGTTTAATGTATAGTTATAAAAAGAATATATAAATACAGTAAATGTCAACATTAAATAATATTTGCATGTAGATCTCTTCTGTTTGCAGTGCACAAGGTCACATCTTAGCTATTTGGCAATAGAAATGAAACTTTAGTAACAGATTCATGGCCTCTTCTATGTGTGGTACTGCAGACTGAAATCAACACCTCACTGAGCTGCATCCTTGGCTCTTTTTACTTTAATTTTTTTTTGTCTTTTTCGTTTTTATCGGAACCAGGGGTCGAACTCATGACTGCCTGCTTGCAAGGCAGGTACTTATGCCGCTGAGCTAAATCCCCAGCCCCTTTACTTTAATTTTTAAAAATTTGAAACATCTCACCCAGTCTCTGTTTTGCTGAAGTTGGCCTTGAGCATGCTATCCTCTTGCTGTAGCCTCTACGACTGGTCAGGTTATAGATATGCACCATCGTACCTTCACTACTTCATGGCTTCTAAATTTCCTTGCTGTCTGTCAAATGCTATAGACAAGAAGAATTATTCGGGGAAATTTGCTCAAAGTCTGAGAAACCCATCCTGGCCTGTAAAATACATTCTTATGCCAGGCCATCAACTAACACTGTTAAGTAGTTCCCTTGCTTTTTAAGCACTTGTTTATTCTTATTATGGAGACTGAACTCAGCTCTGGGTTATATCTACAACCTTTATTATTCTTACTATGATTTTTGCTGTGTGCGCGATAGGGTCTTGCTAAGCTGTCCAGACTGAACTCCTCTTGTGTCATCATTCCTAGTACCTTGGATGACAGGTGTGCACCACCACTCTGGGCCCATGATCTGTATGATTCTCATGAAAATCGTGTGCAGATGTCAACACGGACCTGACCTGACCTGAAGACTCTTATTGGTCCAGGGGATTTTGAGGGTGTATTGCCCAGTTCACCAAAGGCAAACGCAGAGGCAATGAGACTGGAAAATCTGAAAGCCCCCACCACGTCTCTCTGAAGCAGTAACAAAGCAATTGCGTGAGGCTCTGGGAAAAAATGAAATCAGATATAATCTCACAAATAACTACAGAGATCACCAAGATACATACCATGCTTAGTGATGTTAGAGCAGACACAGACAAAAAAAGATGAGCTTAAACAAGTTATGGAAGCACAGCATAACACAGGAAAGAGATGGAATCCCTGAAGCAGATCCAAACAGATCTCCAGGAGGATAAAACTCCACTGAAAATATTTGAAGCAGATTAGGCCAATGTGAGGACAGGGTCTCAGATACTTAAGACAGGCTTGCAGTTAGTGACCGGGAAAAGAAAGATTTCTTAAAACCAGCAAAGAAACATGAGACATCAATCCAGTAGCTGCTAGATGAGACCAAGATGAATAACTTAAGATTAATTGGAGTCAATGAACAAACAGGAGATACCACAAATGACATTAAAAACATGTTCACAGACATTGTGACAGAAAAGAATTTGACATACAAATAAATGAGGCATATAGAACTCTAATTAGCAATGATCAAAAAAAAAATCCACATCCAGGCATGTCATAGTCATGATTCCAGAAATTCAACACAAGAGTAGAATTTTAAAAGCTGTTAGGAAAAATAAACAAATCACTTATAAAGGAAAGCCCATCAGAATCACAGCTGACTTCTCAGCACAAATTCTCAAGTCAAGAAAACCTTGGAGTGAAGTACTCCAGATTCTAAAGGAAAACAACTTTCAGTCCAGACTAATGTATCCTGCAAAACCATCTTTCAAAACTGATGGAGAAATAAGATACTTCCATGACAAAATCTGAGGAAATGTGTGACCACCAAACCAGCACTCCAAAATGTTCTGAAGGACATTCTAGAAAGAGATAATAAGGACTACAACCCCATGCACCCCAACAGAAGGAATCCACCAGGAAAGGCAAACGATTAGAGGGAAGGGGGGAGGAGGAGCCAATAATAGGAAAATGACATGACAAGGATAAGTTAATACATACCAGTTTTACCCATCAATGTTAATGGCCTCAATCACCAGTCAAAAGACACAGACTGGCAGAACAGAAAAAGAAGCAAGATCCAACAATAGTCTGCAAGAAATACATTTAATTCAAAAAGAAATTCACAGACTGAATGTCAAAGGATGGAAGACAATACTCCGTGCAACAGGAATTCAGAAAAAAGCAGGGGTTGCTATTCTATTTTCAGATAAAGTGAATTTCAAGCCAAGACTGATTAAGAGAGATAAAAATGGTCACTACATCCTGGTAAAGGGAACAAGCAAACAGGAAGAGATAATTATCCAGTTATATGAAACAATTATTAATGGACATGAAAAATCAAATGAGCCTTAATACAATCGTATTAGGAGACCTTAATGCTCTGCTGTCACAAAAAAAAAAACACAAAAAATCAATATTGAAATATTAAAACTAAACCAAATTTTTGAGCAAATGGACTTAGTATATGTCTATGCAGTGTTCCACCCTACAACATCAGAATACACATTCTTCTTACTGCACATGGGACATTCTCCAAAATAGACCACATACTGGCTCATTGAACATGCTTAAGTAAATGCAAAGGAACTCAAATCCCATGCATGCTACCAGACACAGTGCAATGAAATTGGAAATCCATGCCAAAGGGAAACCACAAGAACTTCACAAACACATGGATGATAAATAGCATCCTGCTGAACAACCAATGGGTCACAGATGAAATTAAAGAAGAAACTAGACAGTTTTTACAGTTCAACGATAATGATAATACAATATACTGGAACTTGTGGGACACATTGAAAGCAGTATTAAGAGGGAAATTTATAGCAGTAAATACCCATATCAGGAAAACAAAGAAAGCATATATAAACAACTTAATGTTGAACCTCAAGCTTCTAGAAAAAGAAAAGCAGACTAATCCAAAAGCTCATACAAGAGAGGAAATTATAAAGGTCAGAACAGAAATTGATGCACTGGAGAATAAAAAACCAATACAAAGAATCAATGAATCAAAGGATTGGTTTTTTGAGAGATTAAGTAAAATTGACAAATCCTTAGCCAACCTTATCAAAAAAAGGAAAGAAAAGGCTCAAGTACATACAATTAGGAATGAAATCATAACAGATCCTGTAGAAATCCAGAAGATCACGTATACCTACTTTAAAAACTTATATTCTAATAAAATGGAAAATACAGAACAAATGGACAGATTCCTAGATACGTATAAACTACCAAAACTGAGTAAAGAAGCTATGAAAATTTAATTTTATATTAAATTTAACTATATTAATAAAGAAGCTATGAAAATTCTCAATAACCCAATATCAATAAATAAAATTACAGATGTAATTTAAACCTATCAACAAAGAAAAGCCCAGGCCCTGATGGATTTACTGATGATTTCTACAAGAAGCTTAGTGAAGATCTAATACCACTACTTCTCAAACTCTTTAATGACATTGAAACGGAAGCAATACTCCCAAATTCATTCCTGGAAGCAAGCATTACTCTGATTCCAAAACCAGAGGACCCAACTAAGAAAGAGAAGTATAGGCCAATCTGCCTAATGAAGACTGATGCAAAAATCTCCAGTAAAAATTTCCAGTAAGATATTGGCAAACAGACTATAGTAAAGTATCAAGAAGATTGTACACCATGATCAAGTGAGATTCATTCCAGGGATGCAGGGATCCATAAGTGTAATGCATCATATTAACAGAGCTAAGGACAAAAATCATAGTATCATCTAAACAGATGCAGAAAAAGCTTTGATAAAGTCCAGCACTGATTCATGACAAAAATCCTACAGAAAAGTGGAATAGATGGTCTTTATCTCATCCTGATAAAAGGCATCTATGACAAACCAACAGTCAACATCATACTAAATGGACAAAAAATTACAACTATCTCTCTAAAATCAGGGACTAAACTAGGATGTCCACTGTCTCTTCTCTAATTCAACACAGTCCTGGAAAGTTTAGCTGGAGCATTAAGCAAGAGAAAAAAACAAAAGGAGTAAAGATAGGAAAGAAAGAAGTTAAACTATTATCATTTGAAGATGACATGATACTCTACTTAAAAGACCCCAAAAACTCTACCAAAAGGCTACTAGATTTAATAAGCAAATTCAGTAATGTAGCTAGATACAGAGTCAACACTCAAAAACCAATAGCCTTCCTATACACAAATAATACATTTGCTGAGAGAGAATCAAGGAAACTTTTCACAATAGCATCCCCCCTAAAGGAAAGAAAACCTAGGAATCAATCTAATGAAGGATGTAAAAGACTTCTACATTGAAAACTATAGTAAAGGAGATTGAAGGTATTAGAAAATGGAGAGAGATGCTGTGTTCTTGGGTAGGAGAAACCAATATAGTGAAAATGGCTACACTTCCAAAACTGTTACACAGATTCAATGCAATCCCAATCAAAATTCCAATTGTATATTTCACAGAATTAGAGAAAACAATCCTAAAATTTATCTGAAACCAGAAGAGACCTAGAATAGCAAAGGGGATACTGGGCAACAAAGACAAGGCAGGGGGCATCACAATCCCTGACTTGAAATTATACTATAAAGTTACTGTGATAAAACAGTGTGGCACTGGCAAAAAACCAGACCTGATGATCAGTGGAACGCATTAGAAGATATAGAGACAACTGCAGACGCACTAAGATATCTTATCTTTGACAAAGGTGCCAAACACATTCTCTGGTAGAAAGACAGCCTCTATAATAAATAGTGTTGGAAAACTGGCTCTGCACATGCCGAAGATTAAAACTGGGCCCATGTCTTTCACCATGCACTAAGCTAAAATCAGAATAGGTCAAAGATCTTAATATTAAAACAAATATTAAATCTGCTGGAAGACAGTGAAGGTAAAACTCTTGAAGACTGGTATAGGCAAAGGCTTCATGAACAAATCCCAGAATGCACAGGACTTACTGCAAAGAATCAACAAGTTGGATCTTATCCTACTGAAAAGCATTTGTATAGCAAGAGCAATCACCAACAGAGTGAAGAGATAACCCATAATGTGGGAGAAAATATTTGCCACCTGTTCCTCAGATAAAGGATTACTACTGAGAACATTTAAAGAACTCAAAAAAAAATCAGTGCTCCCAAATTTAAAGACCCAATCCAAAACTGGGCCTCTGAGATGAATACACACATTTCTCAGATGGAGAAATATGAACAGCAAATAAGTAAGTAAAAATGTTCAACAGCACTGATTATTCTAGAGTTGCAAATTAAAACAACACTGCAATTCCACCTCACCCCAGAAAGAATGGCTATCATAAAGAAATCAACCAGTAACAAATGCTGGAAAGGCTGTATGGAAAAAGGAATCTTCCTGTACTGTTGGTGGGAGTGTAGACTGGTGCAACCACTGTGGAAATCAGTGTGGAGATGCCTCAAAAGACTAGGACTAGAGGTCTCATTCAACCTAGCTCTTCCCCTTTGTGTATCTTCCTAAAAGAGTTAAAAACATCATACCACAGTGATATATGTGCACCCGTGTTTATAGCAGCAGTTTGTAATTAACCAGATCTTAGAAACAACCCAAATGCCCATCAACTGAGGAATGGATAAGAAAGATGTGGTATTTCTATACAATGGAGTACTGCTCAGCCGTAAAGGAGGACAAGCTGGACACTTTTATAGGTAAATGGATGCATCTTGAGAACATACAAGTGAAATAAATGACATGTGTAAATATCATTGTTTCGTTATATGTCAAGCAGAAGGAAAAAACATGTATATTAAAAAATAAGTCAAGATAGTTAAAAAAAGAAGGAAGCAGCATAATGACCTCCTTTGTCATCGACATGGCCTGTGCAGAAGCAAATTCAGTGCCTCCCTTCACTGAACACCTCTGTAGGTCCTGTCTTTCCTTTTATACCTTGTCCCAGTCACTTTGTCCCAGAGAGAATGATCTGAGCCAAAGCAACGACTCAGGTCACACCTGCCTTTGTTTTAACTAACCCACTGGGTGACATTTTGAGTTGACTTTTGGATGTCTTAAGAAATTTTTGGTGTGCTATAAGGTTTGGGTTTTTTGCATGTGGATGTCCAGTTGTTCCAGTGTATTTATTAAAGGTATAATCCTTTTGTCACTTAATTGCTTTTGTATCTTTGCCAGAAATCAATTGTCTGCTACAGGGGAGTCTATTTTGGGACTTCATATTGATTCCTTGGTGGTTTGTCGATCTTGATATCAGTGCTGTTCTGTCCTGATTAGTGTAACTTTGTGATAAGTCATGGGATTGGGGAGGGTTAGAGCTCTAATTTTGTTCCTTTAGCAAAGTTTTAAAAAATTAAAAATAAAATCAAATAAAACAGAATAAAACCAATCAAAATAAAAGAATGAAAGTGTATTTTATTTTATTTTATTTTATTTTATTTTATTTTATTTATTTGGTACCAGGGATTGAACTCATGACCTCACATTTGCCAGGCAGGTGCTTATGCCACTGAGCTAAATCCCCAGCCCCTGAAAGTATATTTTAAAGAGAATAAAACCAAACAAAATAAAGTGAAACAGTAAAAACGATACAGGATTTCAAGACAGGACACTAGGAAATCAACAATGGCTACCATAATATCTTGTTATCTTCAAAATTGCTGCCCTTACCAACAGATATAAAATCAAACAAAACAGAACCGAATAAAACCAACCAAAACAGAACACTGAATAAAACAAAACAGTAAAGTGCAACAAAAACAGTGAGAACAATATTGGATTTCAAAAACAAGACAAGGGAAACCCCCTTATTTGCTGTAGTACATACTGTTAACCTCTTAATAGATGCTCAGACTACTGGCCTTAGGCCTGGAAAGTCAATCAAACAATATAAGCATTAAGTGATTTTGGTACCTCAGATGCTGTCAGCTCAGCCTGTTCTCCAAATCAGCCAGTTGCTTACGGGGTGGGGGCTGGTGGTGTTCTTGTCTCCCTGTCCGCATCTCATTTGGCTCACAGGAAGGGTGAACCGGCTTCTTGTTACTTCTCCCAGGCCCAGCCTGGTGGAGAGAATTTTTTAAATGAAGATCAGCAAACCACAGATCAGGGCCCCACCACCTCACAACCACAGGAGCCTGCCTTGCTGAGCAGGGTGGTGCTGTCTCAGGGATCTTCAGGCCACAGCACCCCTATTATTTGGCAGGGCTGTGGCAGGCCCCACTGGAGTTTCCTGGAATAGGTCAGCCTTCCACATCAGTTTCACATTGAAACTCATTTTCCCAATGGTAGCCTCATCTCCGCAATGTTTCGCTTAAGACACAGATAATGGCTGTGCTGCCCTCACAGGTGCAGCAGTGCAATCTCCGGCAAAATGCCCCTCACATTTGCAGCTGAACAACTGACCTTTTTTTTCTTCTAGGTTCAGATAAATACCCTGAATGACAGTTGTCCCCAAGGTCTGCACAAACTGAACCAGCTCAGTCTACTTTTTATGGGCTCCTAAAGTCTCTTTACACTGTTTGCATTTTTAAAGGCTAATTGTTGAGCAATTAAAGCATGACTTTTATTTTAACAAGGGTGGAAACTGCAGTCTGTGATGCAGCAACATTTCCCTGAACTGAGAAGGTGGGAATTGCTGCTTGTGGCTCAGTTAAGGTTTCAAGGTGGCTGTTGTTCCACCATCTTTTTCCCACTCTTTTTTAAAAACAGTGCTCCACGCCAAATCCTCTGTGGCTATCCCATCAAACTTGTGACCATTAAGACACTCTGTAATCCAAATCCACAGAAAGAAAGTAAATGTGGAATTCAACAGAACAAGCATTTCCATATACATCTGTGATTTTTAAGAACATGTTTGCCCCCATTTTACCCCTGCTATCAGTATTAATACACCTCACTCACTATTTCTTCTTACCCTGGTCCTTGTTCAGGCACCAATATGCCATGGCCAGCACAAAGTTCCCAGGGGGAAGGACAGCAAGAGGGTGGAGAAATACAGACAAGGGAGAAAGCTTAGGTCTGGTGGAGCCCTCTCTCTGGCTGGGAAGAGAGGAACTGCTAAACCCTCTGTAGCACATTTATTTATACACTCAGGAGGTTGATATCAACTTTTTTCTTTTTTTATTTAAGGAGAAAAAAACAGAGAAAGGGTACAAGTAATACAAAATTTTAAAAATATACAGTAAGAAATCACTAGTTAATAGATTACATATTCTCATCTTAGGAATAGTTGTTCAAGTTACAAAATTAAAGCACATAAACTGGACTTTCAAACAGTGAGAGTAAAAATAGTTTTGTTCAATGATCCAAAAAAAACTCAGTAATATGGTTATCCATCTTATACACTCAAACGTATATGCAGTTATAACTTTTAGAGCATCTTCTTTTCTTTTCTTTTCTTTTGTACAATGACAATTACATATTTTGGGTTTTATTACTTCCACAGTTCTTATTACTTTTTTTGAAGAGAGTAAAACCAAATGTGACATATCAGAACAGAGTCAGTCAAATCAAAAGGATGGACATACATAATAGAGAATGTAAAAACAAACTACAAGGTGATCAACAATGATTACCATACTGCCTCTTGCTGTCTTAAGAATTGCCTATATCATCAGTTATAATAAGATTGAACAAAACAGTAGAGAATACAACCAAAACATTGGAGACTTTACAGGACTTTAAAACAAGATAATAGTCAACCAGAATGGGTGTCATAATGGATCTTATTGTCTTCACAGTTGTTGCCTATACTTTCGAACTTGGTACTATCAAGCAAAGCAGAATAGGGGAAAATCAGTCAAAGCAAGATGGTGAGAGCAATACAGGATTTTAAATCAAGTGAATAGGAAATCAATGTAGGTTACTATAATGTTTCCTGCTATTTTTTATTTTTCCCTTAATCAAAAAGATAAAAAAAGAAATAATTTTAAAAAAGAAAAACAAGGGGGGGATTGAGATAAAAGAGGGCATAACAACAGAACAGCGCAGGTCAAAACATAACCATTTAAGCAAAATAGTGTTTCACCTCAAGATACCTTGACATAAAAGTAGTTACCACAGTGACTTTTTCCTTGATATCTTTGAATATAAATTCATATACTGTAGCATCAGACCTATCAACACACTGTAAAACCATTCAAGAGAATGACATTATTACAGGGTATTTAGAACCAGCTAACAGAAAATGAAAAATGTTTTCTGCATAATCTCCTAGTCTATAAAAGTTTTTGTTTATATTATCATGTATAATAAAATCCACTAAGAAACAACCTTTAAGACTGATGGAGAGAGAAGAATACAAGCTTGATGGGACTTCAAAAAAGATGATACTAAATCAGCACTAGCTATTATGATGTTTTGTTTTCTCCAAAATAGCTGTTCCTACCATCTGATCTTCTTTGCCTCATTTCTGTTGAGATCTTTTTCTGTCATTTGTTGTCAGTTTGTCTTCTTCGTTTTGCTTTCTGCTCCATTCATTGTGGCCTCTCTGCCATTATTTCTGGAATCTTGGTATTTTTCTTTTTTAGAACATCCTGCAGTATTCTCTGTAGAGTTGAATTGGTGGTTGCATATTCCCCTAGTTCCTCTTTATCCTGGAAGCACCTTGTTTTTCCATCAATCTCCAGGGACAGTTGTGCAGGATGTATCAATCTTGGCTGGAGGTTATTATCTTTCAAAGCTTGAATTATTTCCCCCCCCACTCTTTGTGATTTGATGGTTTGTGCTGAGAAGTCTGCTGTAATTCTGATGGGTGTTCCCTTGTAAGTGATCTGTTTCTTGTCTCTGATGGCTTTTAATATTCTGTTCTTATAATGGATTTCTGGAGTTTTTATTATTATATGCCTGGGTGTAGCTCTGTTTGGGTTGTAGGTGCCTGGGGTCCTGTATGCCTCATACATCTGAGTATCTTTACCTTTTGCTAAATTAGGGAAATTCTCTTGGATTATTTCTGTGAATAGCTTTTGTAGTCCATTTGTTTGTGTCCCTACTTCTTCTTTTATGTTCTTAATTCTTAAGTTATAGATCCTCTTATCATCTTCTAGCCTTTGTTTTATTGCTGTTTGGGTTTTTTTGTTGTTGTTGTTATTTTTAAGAAGTTTTTCATTTCATGCTCCCATATTACGAATCTGCCCTCCAGTTCAGATAATCTATCTTTAGTTTCTTTCAAGCTGTTATGCCAGCTTTTGAGAGAGTTTTTAGTTTCCTGGTAATCTCTTTGAACTTGCTTCATGTATTCCATGTTTTCTCTATTTTCTCCATCAAACAATTCTCCTCTTTTTTTCTGTTCTTCCATTCCACCATCTGTTTTTTCTTGGGCAGTGCTTAGCATTTCTCTAACTATTCTACGTATATCTTGCTTTAGGTTGTTAATAACTTCATTCCTAAACTCGTCTATGAGGCTCTGGAGATATCGCTTTATGTATTGGTGCTGTGTCTACTATTGCATGTTTCTCAGGCTTGGGGGCCGAGGATCCTTTCTTGTTGCTCTCTCTTCCCATATTTTTTGTTCCTGCTATACAAGCGTATATAGGAGGCTCAGTTTCTTTCTTTGTCGGTTACAGTTGGTTTGAATTGTTCTGGTGAGGTATTCCTGCCCACTGCAGTATACTAGGGAGACACAGACCTGGGCAGCCTCTGCTGGGCCTGCCCCTCCAGGTCAATCTACTGAAGGCTTCACTGCTAGGGTGCACCTCCAGGCACTGGGACCCGGTTTGGGCTAGCCCACTGGGTCTTAAGTCAGCAGCGTCACCCAGGCCAGGCACTCCCCACCAATCCCACTTGAGAGGGGACTATATTCCTAAGGACACTGCAGCCTCCTGTTCCGGCTAATCTGCCCGGTCCCAGTGTGTCCTTTGCTGAAGCCTCCTACTCTGTGGAAGACTCTCCAATCTTCTCACTCACCGCAGGTTATTGCAGGGCTCCTGGCCAGTCCTGCTCTCAACTCCATTCACTGATTGCCACTCTCAGAGCTTTCGCACCTCTCTCCTTGCCATGCTGATTGGGATGCAGCAGCGGCTGCAGGAAATTCAAATCGTGACTGCCAGTGGCGTGGGCTCCAGCTTCCATGCTGAGACTATATCTGTTCCTGTTATATCATCAGGATTGCGTTTCCAGTTGGCCTCTCTTGGTTTAGTCCATTCTTGGGTAAGCAGGGTGTATCTCCCCTTGCTTAGGACTTCACACCCAGCACCATTCCTGGATTTTAAGTGTGGTTTCTCAGAGAGCCTCCGAAGTTGCTGCTATCTATCCACCATGTTCTGCTGGAAGTCCTGTTAAATGTCGGGGATATCAATTTAAACCCTGCTGCCTAGCAACTTGTCTACCTGACTAGCCTGGGCCCTTTGCCTTCTTGAAACTGGAACAGCCTGTTTAAGTGGCTTGCCTTGGGCTCGCTGTGTTCTCAGGGCTGGCCTTGCTTTAGCCCCCAGTGTGTGATCAACCTCCAGCTTTGGCCACTCCCACCGGCAACTTACTGAACCCTTGCCTCAAATAGAAGATCGGCTCTGAATGTAGCTCAGTATGAAGGCCCTGGGTTCAATACCCAGTACTGGAAAAAAACAGAACAGGAATGATGGGCCCACAGCAGACAACATACTGTATTCCAGAGGGCACTGAGCCAACATACTGAACCATCCTGCCTCATGGTTGCGCCAGGGAGACACTGACACAGCAGCTGTTGTCACCAGGATACAGATCTGCTCAGTGGGAACTGAGGCACTCAGGCCCAGCCTATGCTGATGGGAAAAGCTAACAGGAGGAGCGACATTGGTCCAACAGGATGAAAGCTACTGTTCAGTATCGCCTGCTTCAAGGCAGTGGTTCTTTGGTTCTTCAAACTGCAGCAGAGCTGTGATGCCACAGTCTCTTACTCCACCACTGATCCTGTGCTCTGTCCACTGGGTCAGTTCCTTCCTTCCCCCCAGCAGCAAAGTGGGATCACTGTCTCAGCCACCGCTTCAGGAGGGGCCAGGCGCCAACTCTCCTGACCTGCTGCCTTCATGTGTCCCTGAGCAGCCTTTTCTGTGTGCCCTTCGAGCCCCTGAGGACCCTGTCCACGGTCCACAGACTCTTCCAAGCTGACCCTCTGCCACGCCCTCGCTCCCTGTGCTGGAGCCCTTGCCTGTTCTCCTGTAAAGATAGGTTCTAATCTGGGACCTGAACAGCCGGATTGCCCAGCACAGGTTTTCTTACCCTTGAGTTTTTTCTGAATCCTGCATCTAACCAATTTCACAATGAATACAGTGTTTAAATTGATTTCTGTAAATCAAATTGTTGGATTCAGGCATAAAGATTGTCTGCATAAATATTTTTCTTCTTTTTTTTTTTTTTTTTTTTTTTTTTTGAGATGGAGTTTCACTATGCAGTTCAAGCTAGACTTGAACTCAATCTGTAGGCCAGGCTGGCTTCCAACTCACAGCAATCCTTTTAGCACAGCCTTCCAAGTGCTGGCATGCTTGTGATACCACACACAGCTTCTTTTTCAGCTACGATGGGAAATTATCTCCTTCTTGTGCATTCAGGGTTGAGACCTAGGGAGGATTGCAGGAAGCTTGCAAATTGAAGCCCACGTTGAACTCCTTATACACAGTTACCAAGGCGAGACCTGCTTTTAAGGCCCATACATCCTGTGGGGTCCAGACTGGCAGCAGGACAGAGTGTCCCTGCCCCACGTGAAACTGAGGGTCCTCTGAGCCCCCCAGGTGTCTAAGACACTTGTCCTGTCTCTCCTCGTGGGTCAGTGCGAGGGGAGCACATGGCTCAGGGGACCCATCCTTCCTCCCTCCTGACCCCAGCTGCCCGTGATGCTGAGCTTCTCACTTGGGAGGGAGCTGTCACCCAGAGTGCCTCACTCAATAGCAATTTTTCTCTTCGGTAAAGTAAGTTACTGAGGAATAACTTGTGGGTGAATAACCTGAGGTAAGTGAAGATCCCACCGCCCTGAGGCCTTTCTCTCCAGCTGCACATCCCATCTGCAGTAAGCCTTGCCTGAACCCATTATCACACCACTGACACTGAGTTGACAATTTCCAACTCTAGCGTTCCTTCTTCGCCTCTTAGCTGCTATCATTCTGTTAAAACATGGCCACCCTTTTCTTTTTGAGGCTCATTATGAATTCATGTGCTCTTCCTCGCCTTGCCCCCACTTTCCTTCCCTCCCTCTCCTCTTTGTAGTTCTGAGGTCCAAACCTAGACCCGGGAGGCGCTAGGCCAGCTCTGCCCCGAGCTGCACCCCAGCCCTCCTCACAGGCTCCAGTGCCATCTCTGTGGTTACTAAACACCACCCCGAGGGTAAACCAAGGCGTTTCCCGGCGCAGGGGGCGCCCTCCTGTTCCCCACTTCCCAAAGCAGTGGGCGCGGGCCTTTCTAAGACTCAGCACAGCGGCTGCTTCTCCCATCTCTCCCTGTGCACGCCCTTGGCTGAGCCAGGCTTTGCAGCTGGGTAGAGATGCTCCTGCAGGAAGCGGCAGCTTGTCCCGGGACCTAAGTCCCACCCGGCCCGTGGGCCGGCCCCACTCACTGCCTGGTTCACCCCTGGGGCCGCGGACCGCCCGTTTGAGCATGTGCAGTGTTCCTGAGCAGTCCTGGGACGGGGGCATCCCCCAGGCGCCAGGCCGGCTTCGGAGATGTCTCTGCAGAGCCCTGGGGGCCTGGCTTGTGCCTCCCATCGCTGCGGGAGCCCCTCTGCTCACTCGCTTCTCCGTGCTTCTCCTTGCTCTGCGCACAGGATGCACCTTGACAACAGCAGGGATTCAGCTGGTCCTTGGCTCCCTCACAATCCGTCATGCTGGGAGCTTTCTGAAGGCAAAAACGCGCCAACTACCACCTTGCACCACTACGCCTGCAGGACGAATAGGATGCACTGCGGCTGCGCATCGCATCGCGGCATACTACGCCTGCCTCAGACCCTCCTGACTCCTTTTTTTAAAAGGCAAGAGAGGTTGCGGGGCGTGATGGACTAGTGCGAAATGGGCTAGGATTTGTACCTGTGCTCCAGCCACTCTGTCCCAGCGTCTGCCAGCCTCAAGCTTCCATCCAAGCTCGTTTTTAGGGTCGAGTTCTAAAGGCGCCCCACGGCATGGAAGGCACAGATGCTGTATAGCAACCAGCTTCCTCCTCCGCCCCGAGCAGACTGGAGCAGCCGGCAGGGGGCATCACATGCAGGGGAGGGCGCGGAAGCGGGCTCTGAAGCCGCCCTCTCTCGGGGAAGAATGTCCGGAGGCTCAAGTAAGACCAGAGGGCGTGATCGGTGGCGAGCGCCTTGCTGTGGCACCGGCCTTCCTGAGCCCGACTGCAAATACCCGCACCGATGGGCCCAGTGTGGACTGAAGATCTCGCGGATTCCCCTGCGCAGGCGCGAGCTGAGCCCCGCTGAGGCGAGCCTCGCGCAGCAGGTGCACGCGGGGGCGCTATTTCGGGAGGCTTTGGGCTGAAGCCTGAAGATACCCGCTTCCTACTGCATGTGTAGCGGGGCCCGTGGGAGGTTCACGCTGCTGTGTGCATGCGTGCTGACGTGGCGGGCGAAACCCACGTGAGCAACCTCAGGGATCTGCAGGTGCACTGGGGCTCCCAGGTGTCAGAGGGGATGCGGGAGACTGGTGGGCTTCCCTTTCCTGCTTCCAGAGCTGGAGACAAGGTCCAGGGCTGAAGGTGGGCTGTGCATGTGTGTGCAAGTCTGTGTGATCCCTTCCGTAGGTGCTCAAGACTCTGGGCACCAAGACAGGGAAGAAGAACAAGACCAACCTGCCCTTTCTGCTGGGCACAAACACTCTCACTCTCAAGGATTTTGGTTTGGAAGTAGGGCAGTATTTGAGACAAGTAAGAGGTATACAAATTTGAGATGCAGGAGGAGAATATCAGCTAAGAAGATGTAATTAAATATCTATTAACAAAGAAAGGCCCAGGCCCTGACAGATTCACTGATGTATTCTATGAGAAATTTAGAGAAGAGCTAATACTTCTACTTCTCAAACTCTTCAATGAAATTAAAAGGGAAGCGACACTCTCACATTGATTCCTGGAAGCAAACATTACTCTGATGCCAAAAGCAGAGAAGGGCCCAACTAAGAAAGAGAACTATCGGCCTTAATCTCTTTAATGAACATAGATGCAGAAATTCGCAATAAGATACTGGCAAACAGAATACAGGAAATCATCAAGATTATACACCAAAAAAAAAAAAAAAAAAAAGATTATACACCGTGACCAAGTGGGATTCATCACAGGGGTGCAGGGATGGTTTGACATATGTAAATCAATAAACATAACATACCATATTAACGAAGCCAAGGACCAAAACCTTACAAACCTCTCAAGAGATGCAGAAAAAGCTTTTGACAAAGTCCAACACCCATTCATGATAAAAACTATACAGAAAATTGGAACAGATGGTCTTTATCTCAATCTGATAGAAATCATCTATGACAAACCAACAGCCAGCATTCATATGAAACAAACAAAAATTGAAAACTTCTACTCTAAAATCAGGAACAAACAAGGATGTGTGCTGACACCATTCTTATTCAACAAGTATCTAGAAAATTTAGCCAAAGCAATTAGGATAAGGAAAAAGGATTAAAAAAAGAAGTCAAATTATCATTATTGAAGTATGCTGTGATACTCTACATAGAAGACCCCCAAAAGTCCACCAAAAGGCTTCTAGATTGAATACCAAATTGAGTAGCATAGCCAGATACAAAGTCAAAACTTAAAAGCCAATAGCCTTCTGATGCTGGGACTGACCAACCAGCCAGTTTTTCTGGTGAGCCGTGTCAGCTGTGCAGGTTCCAGGGAGAGAGTCGTCCAGACAGCTCCTCCCGAGAGCCTACTGATGCATGGGCTGGGTACCAAACACTGTGCCCCTCCACTACCACCCCCGTAAGCATCAGGCTAGTTTGGAGGACAGGCTGAGTTGAGAGCAACTAAGGTACAGAAAACTTGTCTTGCCTGGATGACTTTTCAGGCCTGGGGCCAGCAGTCTGAGTGGTTCTTGGGAGGATGACCGTGTACAATATAGCAAATATGGGGGATATCCTTCTGTCTTCTCTTTGGAGTTCAATATTGTTCTGTTTTCCTTTGTTTTGATTGTTTTTGCTTTACCCAATATTCTGTTTTGATTGATTTTATTCTATTTTGTGGTTGGTTTGATTGTGCTATACCTGATGAAATGAACAACTATTGTGAAGATAACAAGACATACTGTGGTAGCTATGGTTGTTTTCGTAGTATTCTGCTTTGAAGTGCTGTACCAATTTTGCTGCATTGTTTTGATTGGCTTTGTTCTGTTTCATTTCCTTGGATTTTACTATCATTAAAATAAAAAAGGGGCTGGGGATTTAGCTTAGTGGCTTAAGTGCCTGCCTGGCAAGCACAAGGTCATGAGTTCAATCCCCAGTACCACAAAAAATAAAAAATACAAAAAATTTTTTAAAATCAACAGCCTTTCAGTACATGAGTAACAAACTCACTGAGATAGAAATTAGGAAAACAACAATTTGTACCATAGCATCCAAAAAATGAAACAATTGGAAATCAACCTAACAAAGGAAGTAAGAGACCACTACATTGAAAACTACAGTGCTCTGATATTGAAGATGATATCTGAAAATAGAAAGATATCCCTTTTATTTTGGCTAGGGAGAACCAATACAGTGCAAAATGCCCATATTTTGAAAGTTGTTATATAGATTTAATGTAATCTTGATAAAAATCCCAACAGCATATCACACAGAATTACAATTCATTTGGGGCCAGAAGAGACTTAGAATAACAAAGCCAATTCTAGGTAAGGCTGGGGGCATCACAATCCCAGAGTAAAAATTATAGTACAAAAGCTACTGTGATAAAAATAATACAGTACTAGAAAAATAAAAATTCCAAAATAGACCCAAGGATCGATGGAACAGATTAGAAGATGCAGAAAAAACTGCAGACATATTCAGGCACCTTACTTTTGACAAAGGTACCAAACACATTCACTGGGAGAAGGATAGTCTTTTTAATAAATGGTGCTGGAAAAACTGACTTTCCACATGCTGGATATTAAAAGTTGACCCATATGTTTCACCATGCAGTAAATCAAAGTCAAAATGCACCAAAGATCTCAATACTGGGGAAAAATCCAAATATTGAAACAAGCATTAAATCTGCAGGAAGACAGACTAGGTAGATGTCTCTTGAAGACATTGCTGTTGGCAAAGATTTTTTATGAATGAAACCCCAATTGCACAGGAGCTATCACAAAGTATCACCAACTCAGATCTCATTTATTAAAAAGGTTTTGCATAGTAACAGAAAACACCAATAGAGTAAAAAGACAACCCACAGTTTGGGAAAAATGTTTTGCCCGCTGTTCCTCCAACAAAAGAGGAATTATTATTATTTAGAATTATTATTATTATTATTTAGAATTTAGAATTATTATTAAAATTATTATTCTTATTATTTAGAATATATAAGGAAAACACACAAAAAAATCCAGACTCCCCAAATTTAAACACACCATCCAAAATGGGCATGTGAGATGGATATGTACTTCTGAGATGAAGTACAAATAGCAAGTAAATATATTAGAAATGTTCACTGTCACTAGTGATTCGAGAGATGCAAAGTAAAACAATGCTGAGATTCTATATCTCCCCTGAGAGAATGGCCATTATCAAGAAATCAACCAATAACAAGTTCCAGCAAGGCTATGTGGAAAAAGCAACGTTTTCCACTGTAGGTGGAAGCATAAACTGGTGCAACCACTGTGTAAATCACTGTGGAGATTCCTCAAAACCTAAGAGTAGATGTTCCATATGACCCGACTATTTCCCTCCTTAAAAGCATCATACTGGGCTGGGTACAAAGCTCAGTGGCACGAGTGCCTTCTTGGCAAGTCCAAGGGCGTGAGTTCAATTTCTGGTAAAAAAAAAAAAAAAAAAAAAAAACAAAACCAGAAGACAACAGCAATATATTCACAGCCAGGTTACAGCAACACAGTTTATAACAGCTACAACTTGTAAACAGCCCAAATGCCCATCAACTCGTGAATGGATAAGGAAGATGTGAAGGTGTTTTTTAATACAATGGAGCACGTCCATGCATAAAGAAAGATAAGTCTGAGACATTGCTAGATAAGGGGATGCAAGTTGAGACTATACTTTGGTTTTTTTTTATTTAAAGAAAAAAACAAAAAGGGTGGAAATAATACATAATTTAAAAAACAGTAAGAAGTCATTAGTTGATGATTTCATATTGTCCTCTTACAAATAGTTGTTCAAGTTACAGAAGTGAAGCATACAAAGTGAGCATTCAAACAATGAGACTGCAAACAGTTCTGTTCAATACAACACAAACTTAGTGATACAGTTATCAATCCCACACACTTAACAATACATGCAGTTACATCCTTTAGAGCACTTTCTTTTCCTCTATTACAATAGCAATTTCACATTCTGGATTTTATTACTCCAACATTTTTTACTACTTTGTACACTAGAGAGACAATGTGATATTTATAAATATGATTCTTATTTATTTCAATAATGAGGATAGCCTCAAGTTGTCTCCATTTGCCTATGAAGGCCTCAAGATAATCCTTTTTATAGCTGAGTAATATTCCATTGTATAAAAATATCACATCTTTTTCATCCAATCTGCGATTGATGGGCATCCTGGTTGTTTCCAAAATTTAGCTATTACAAATTGTGCTATGAATGTGGGTGCACACATATCACTATGATATGACCTTTTCAGTTTTTCTGGGAAAATACCCAGGAAGGGAATAGCTGGGTTGAATTGAACTTCTGATCCTAATCTTCTGAGAAATCTCCATACTGATTTCCACAGTGGTCACACCAGTCTGCACTCTCACCAACAGTGGAGCAGTGTTCCTTTTCCCCTGCAGCCTCACCAACATTTGTTATCATTTGATTTCTTGATGGCAGCCATTCTTTCTGGAGTGAGATGAAATCTCAGTGCTGTTTTATTTTGCATTTCTTGAATGACCAGTGATGGTGAACAATTCTTCATGCATTTATTTGCCATTTGTATATCTTCATCTGAGAACTGCGTGTTCATCTCAGGTGCCCATTTTTGGAGAGGGTCTTTGAATTTTGGGGGCTTGATGATTTTCAATTCTTTATATGTTCTGGACACCAGTCCTTTGTCTGAGGGGTTGATGGCTAAATTTCTTTCCCATATTGTGGGTTTTCTTTTCATTTTGTTGGTGATTTCTTTTGAAATGCAGAAACTTTTCAATAATATGAGATCCTGGTTGTTGATTATCTGAAATGTTTCCCATGCAGTTTGCATTTTGTTCATGAATTCTCTGCCTACCCCTATGTCTCCAAGACTTATAAGACTTATTGTCTTCCAATTGATTTAGTATTTCTGGTTTTTTGGGGTTTTGGTGGTTTTTTTTTTTTTTTTTTTTTTTTTGGTACTGGGAATTGAACTCACAACTGCATGCTTGCCAGGCAGATAATTAAGCCACTGAGCTAAATCCTCAGACCCTCTGTTTTAATATTTAGGCCTTTGATCCATTTAGACTTTAGTTTAGTGCATGGTGATAGGCATGGACCTAGTTTTGGTCTTTGGGATGTG